AGGTGCATCCCATCAGGACACATGGACTTATGGATGGCCAGGTTGCTTAACTGGTCCCTAACCAAGTCCTCATCAACCAGGATAGACTCCTCCTCTATCCTGACTTCCTCAAGAGCCTCAGGGTTCCGGGGCTTATCAGGATAGCCTCCAGCTGTATAGACTGAGGCAAAGAAGGCATTTAGTAACTCTGCCTTCTTCTTATCCTTTGTCACCAGGGCACCCTCCTCATTCACCAGTGGGCCTACATTGCCTCTAGTGTTAGTTTTATCTGCAATGTATTTGAAGAAGCCCTTTCTGTTGTCCTTGACCTTTCTTGCAAGGTTTAATTCCAAGGAGGTCTTAGCTTTCCTAGTTGCCTCCCTAGAGTTTGGGAACTGTATTGCAGATCATGAGGCTCTACTTGGGATCCTGAAAGCATAGACAGATCTCGTGTTGGCATACACAGGACTGAAGAGGTGGGGTTTGGGATGGCAGTTGGAGTTCTGATGTGGTAGCATAAATTACACCAGGTTTTACTTCTGATTTTCTAACAGTGTGATTTCCTTTCAATTCAAAACTATATGGATCAGGTAATACATTAGTAAATAATTTGTGACTGCCTTACTGTAAGTAATACAATTCCCATTCAAACTGTTTTCCTTTGCAATCCTGTTCGCTGCATGTATGAAACATCTAATTCATAATCATGAATGTTTCCTGTAGGTACCCAGGACATTCAGGGCCAAATCCTTGCCCTGTGAAGACAGAAAATGACTTCCCTTTTTTTGTCTTTTTTTGTCTTTTTTTTTTTCCTTTGAGGAATCCAACCCAAACTGCATTTGAGTGAAAGAACTGAGTAGCTAGATCATCTTGCTTTGCCTTTGTCTGCTCATGATACTCGTCAGCCAAGAATAGCTAACATTCACATGCTCTTGAAGATACTTTTATCCTGGCCATGTGTTTGGGAACTAGACAATACAGCCATGTCTGCATGCCATGTCTGCCTCCCATAATAAACTCTGCCAGTTCCAGCTTGAGGCTCCACATCACGCTGCCAGTCTTCCCCCAGCAACACAGAGACGGGAGCAGTTTATTTGACTTAATAACCAGTTACCATTGTCAGAACTAAGTGATCAAAGTGAGTTTGGCACTGTCTTTGAAATTTGTCAGCATCATTTAATTGAAAGATTAAAGGATTATCACCCAAGACCTCTGGCTTCAGTATTCACCTGTTACAAGTATCTGAACTGGGATTGTCTATGAAAATACAGCAGCGGTCCTGTACATTAAAAGAACTATCAAAATATACTGTAAAGAATGCAAAACACGTTGGGATTTTCCTTTCATTTTACTAGATGGCTTGGTTTTTTTTTCCCTGTAATAAATCTAAACAGAATTGATAGATTACATTGTCTTTGATTCTTCTTAGCTATAGTGTAAAACATAAACCAATCATTTTTAAGAAAGTACCTAACTGCTTTTACTGAACTGTGCCTTTCCCAAGTGGTAACAAAACGCTGGAAAGTAAAAAAAACAACCACCCCAATGATCAGAAACTGTGCTGCAGTGCCAATATCAACAACATATAGCCACTCACTTCAAGAGTGTGAACTCGTACACTATGTATTTTTCTCCTCAGAAATTGTGTGAGAAGACAGAATCTAGACATTGATGAGGAAGGCTTTCATCCGATAATTGTTTTTTTTTCATCTGCATGTTCTTCTGCAGTGCCTCCAGGGACTTGGACATTCGAGTTTCTGATTCCTCCACATGGATTAAACACCCCGGCCAGACTACAGTGATGTCCCACAGTCATCCCTTTTAATGAGACACTGCACTGCCTATTGGAAATCTAAGTGACAGTGAATTGGAAAAGATACAGTCTAGCAGAAGAATCAAAATATAGAAAAAAAAAAAGGGTGTGAGATGTTCAAACTACAACTCCCAAGAAAATTGATGGCCAAATTTACAAAGAGAAAAATTTCATTACATTTTAAAATGTCTTTTTCTTTAAGAAATAAGAAAAGTCCTGTAAATGACACTTTATTAGAAAAAAAAATTTATCAAAATGAATTTTCCATCATTTGAAAATGATTTTTGACAGAAAATTGTGGACCAGAACCAAACTCCCCATTGAATGTGTTTGTCAGGGTCAGTGCTGCCTATGGGGCAGCCAGGGCAGGCCATGCAGGATAACGACTTATATCTGGAAAACACAGCCCAATTCACTTTGCTAGGAAAAAAAGCAGGAATACCTGTGTTCAGATACCTCCTGATGGAATGAAACTAAAAGTGTCCATAGCCTGTAGTTTAACACCGTAGTACAGTAACTTTATTTTTCTTCTTAACAGTGGGACTGTTAAGAAAATGAAAAAATCAGAAAGCAAGCAGAGACAGTGAGCATTCATTATTGAACTTAAGAAGTTCTGGCACTTCATTCATTACATGATTAAAATATCTGAAATATGGACAATTAATATTGCTCTCAGACTTTTATAGAAGACACTGAGCTATTGTTATTTGAGAAATCAAGCTCTACCCAATTATTTATAGAGCCAGTAACAAATATATGAGCAATTCAGAAATCTAAGTAGTAGAAGCTGTACTTTTTAATTATCAGAGGCCAGATCGGGTGGCGTAAAATGTCACAGCCCCACTGTGGTTTCAGCAATACTATGACTTATGTCAGTTCTGGATTTGGATGGCTATTCAGAAACAATTTGAATGCCTGTTTTTCTTGCATATATATACCTTTTGAGACTTTCCATGTGCTTTGCTGCAAATACAGTAGTACAATGACATAGGTAATTCCTTGAAGCATTTCTATTTACAGTTCCTTTCAACACTGTGTTTTTCTATGCAACTAACTGCAATCAGAGGAAGCAGAAAAAAACGAAAACAAAAAAAAACAAACACCATTAACCATTGGATTAAGCCGTAAGGGAGAACCTAACTGAGTGCTAATTTGACTGAAAGTCTTAGAAAGTCAGTGGCTGAACATAACAAACACCCTATCAATAGTATGGATTGTATCTTGGATGTTCGCGCCGCAGACAAGGACACTGTCATTTGAGTTACAGAATTGCTCTGACAGTGAACATGTTGTGGGGTAGAATTAACAACTATTAATTAAATAGAGAGAAAAGAAAATCCCAGCTAGAAAAAAGTATAAATTGCAATTATAATAAGAGGCTTCATACAGACTCTTCCCATTCATATCTGGCCCTGGTACTATCTTCATCCTTCTTCCTTCTCTTCCTTCTTGCTGGAGACCTGTTCTTCTTGCCAGCTGGACTGGGAAAGTAGATTTACCATCATAAAGAACAGCAATATTTGGTTCGTACTCCTATTTGGTCTAACTATCCAGGGAACAGAAATCATGGGATATTCAGTCACATCAGCACACAATAACCTGAAGTGTAACTATTCATTGTACAGCAGCACTTCTCACAATCCAATCAGTATTTAGTTTAAATCAATATTTCTTTTAATACAATTTAAAGACTATTAAAAAAAACCCCGCTTTTATAGCTTTTCCATTGAAATTTGAGATTGCTAGCACTCATAAAAATGAAATGTGAATAGCACTGATGAAGCACAGTATAATGTAGGCAGATGATATGCAAATATCACCAAGAATCTCTGTGAATGCAGCTCTATTCTCACCTGAAACAGCCTTGCTAATATTCCTTCCATACTCCTCTGATTAGATTGCAGACACCGAAAGGGGAATAAATAGCTACCTGCATAAAACACCCACAAACTAGCAAGCAAATGGCATTTTGAAATAAAGATATGCAGATTTATTTTTACCTCGAAGGGGAAATAATTGAATTTGAGCCTGAAGGGGTTCTAAGCACACTCTGTCAATAAATTGCATGCCAGAACAAATAGGTCTGAATATAAAATGAAAGTGTACATTCCCAGTGCCCATTTTTATTTAAAGGATGTATACGTGTGTATATGGGGGGGGAGGTGTTCAGTTAACTGCTTGCACATCGGGGAACGCATAAAAATACCAAATCTCATGGTGTGGAGCCACAAACCTGGACTGCTACTATGCTGCCGATACCTGCGATCCACAATGGCATTTGAAACTGGAGTAGATGTTCAGTGTCACAAGGACATGGAATTCTTTTCTGAAAAATATTAAGCTGCTTGGTATTTTATAAATGTACATAAGGAGTTAATTTAAAAGAAGTACTAATAATAGCTGGCAAAGGATTTTTCTGACTTTTGGCTGCCTTCTCAACATTTGCCAGACTGCTCGCCAATCACATCAGAATGATGAGAAATTCACGGTTCAATTTGAAAACATATTCAAGTCTAATTATGCCAAATCCCTTTCCAATTATGTTTCATTTGTTGGACCAGTTAATTGAAAAATTTTATTATTTAGAAATCCAGAATCACAGAGGAGAAAGTGCTTTAGGACACAAAATATCTTAAGATACTTCTGTGTATCTATCTTTGTCAGTCTTTACAAGAATTCATTCTGATAACACAGTGGTGATGGAAGTACTGAGCCAGGCTTGCACAACACAGAAACCTCCTGTATATGCTACAGAACTGCAGAGAAACACATTTATACAACAAAAGCCAATTTTCCAGCTTCCTTATCCACAAAACAAGAGACGGTGGTAAAATATCAATTTGTCCTGTGAGCATAGCGAGTGCAACAAAACAACCAAAAGTATTCAACATTTATGCAGAAGTACTGTTTTCCTCAGGGTCTCTGTCTGCGAGATGAATGCTCCCTGTGATCACCGATTCCTCTTGAGCCGAGGTGTTCTCCAGCTGCTTATTTGTGCAATACGGAATGTGGCCACAAAAATACATGTAAATCCATGGGTTGGTGCAACTATTTAAATTGCCAAGGAGCATGATAATGGTGAATGCCGAACCTGGAATGAGACAGTTAAAGGAAGAACAGAGTAAATAAAGCACTCGTATAAATAACATTTTCACAGTGTGCTGTTTTCTAGCGTAGCTGTTCATATATTAAAGCTAATCTACTAGAAGGAAATTCCCATTTATTCAATGCAATTTGTAATTGTTGAAGTAATGAAGCACACTGCATTGTATGCATTTCAGAGTTAAATAGTTCCAGATAGCTCTTTTTTTGATGTAGCTGCATTAAATTTAAAAGCAATTACTAACCTGCTATGCAGATATAGATAAATACAGATATAGATATTGATATAAATGTGTGTAGAATAAGACTCAAATTCACACTGACAGGAAGAATTCTTAGAACAAAGATCAGAAGAATTTTTTTTTCATCAGACAGAGCTAATATCTTTTTTTTTCCTTTGGTTTATATCTTTGAGTTCAGAATAGGTGAACTTAAAGTCACATACAGAGTCTGCCTTTCACAAAGAGTGAATAGTTTAAGTTTGACAAGATTAATCTTGTTTACAACATGATGTTCTTTGATACCTCTCTCAGACTTGCTTTTTTGCTTTATAAACAGCTGTTTTGCAACTTTCAATTGTTTCATAGTGTACTACAGAGATTTCATCAATTTGATTTCAATATTCAAAAAAAAAATCAGATGTCTTATAACATCACTGTTCTATCCAGTAAATAAAAAATATTTATTTTATTACTTTGAATAGTTAATTACTCCTTTTCACCTCAAGAACCCCAAATACTGCTGCTATAATTTTTAAAACCTCTAAAAGTCTGAACCCTTGCTTGAGCAGATGATAATTTTCACCGTGCTGTTCATTAACCTTTAAATTTTTAATCACTCAAAACACACACACAAAATACACACTTGTGTGATGTTTTGAACACATAACATATGAAGCTCACTGTACCTAATTAAATACAGTAGAATTAGGATCCAGGAATTTCTTCTTAATCATACTCAAATGATCATATGTAACTTTTGCACAAAACCAAAGTGCAAATATAAAGCAATATAGCAATGTGCTAGCCTGCTATGAAGTTATGAATGAGGATGGAGAGTATCTTACCTTCAGTCACGACACTGGGGAACCACACAGACCACAGCTGTGCAATGAAGAAAGGTGACCAACAGAGAACATACGCAACAACTGTCACCACTGTCATTTTTACAGTCTTGATCATAGCCTTTGAAATACAGTTCACGCTGCTTGCTCGGGATGGCAGGACTTGCTTCAGATTTGTTACTTCATATTCATTCTGGTTTTTCACATATATATTTCTTCTGATTATTTTGCAAATCTTAACCTGGCACGTGATAAGGATAACTGAGGGAATGAAGAATATAACTACAAAAATCCAAGTCACGTATGCCCTTGGGCCCCATGGCTGAATAAATTCACCCCAACATTCAAAGACACCTGGAGATATTTCAGTCTTAGAAAATATAAATACCTGTGGTAGGCTAAGAATCAGTGATACAGACCAGCTGGTGCAAATGGGGATGTTCCAGAGAGCTCTCTTCTTTTGGAAAGTGACCATAGGGTAGCAAACTGCTTGATATCTGTCCACTGTCATGACCACTATCATATAAGTAGAGGCGAACATGCCCAGCAATTGTAGATACTTGATAATTCTGCACAAGAAATCTGGCCCTATGAAAACGTCTGTAATATCCCATATAAGTTGAGGCAGCACTTGAAAAAAGGCTACCACTAAGTCCGCGATGCTGAGGTGAAGCATGAACACATACATCCTAGAAAGCTTCTTTCTTCTTCGCCACAGCACCAGTATGAGAATAAAGTTGCCCACAGACGCCGTCAGAAATATGACCCCCAGTACAGCGATCTCTACTTGAGCTAATTGCTCATCTCTTTCTGGTCTTCCAACAGGATCTGACTGATTTGTCAAACTCAGGAATCTGTGAGGAGAAGGACTCTCCGTCTGAGGTGTGTTATCCTGCATAGGAAATGAAAAATTCTTCATAGTGCACAGAAGCTACTTACAGTAGCTGCTACTTGCAACTCAGGTTGACAGCTGTGAAGTACGGGGCTGGCAAACAAACCAGCCCGGGTTCAGGTTTCACTGTATCTTCAGGCAAATCTCCTCCTGCTTGTGTGAACTGAAGCAGTGGGACCTGGATCTTGATAAAACTCTGTCTCTTGCTGGCGTGCAAAAAGGCTTTATATAGGCTCCCAGCAGACAGAGCCTTATGTAACTGCAGAGCCCCCGGGTAGGCTGCCGGGACCGCAGCCAATGGCAGAGCGAGCCACACAATTGGGGGAAATATATAAATAAAAGGCAAACTTCAGAGGCTCAACGTAATTCAATTACTCAGTTCAGTCAAAGCCCGAACTTGTAAATAGCTGTGGCCAGGATCATACTTAAGTGATCTTACTCGGGAGACTTCTTGCAAATATTTTTTTATACGCAAACCAGAAGTCCGTGCTTCGGCCGAAGCAGGAGGAATGTTTATACGTAGACGGAAAGTTGGGTCCCTGGGCTCAGGAGCATCGTAACTGCAATTCTCTAGGCTCCTGGGGCACGACCACATCCTAAATGCGGCAGAGATAAAGAAATGCATTTTTCCATAGCTTTTTTTTTCCCTTGTCTTTTTTGGAGTCACCTGATTCTGAAAAAAAAAAAATATATTTTAACTGCCCTAAAAATAATCTTTTTATTTCAAGACAGGGTCAAGACTTAGAGGTTTTTTCTCAGCAAAATGAAAAATAACACATGTGAAATAAATTACTTTTAATGGGACTGTGAGTCTACTGAGAATTTAATAGAAAAATAAGTGAAAATTCAGTGGGAAATGCAGCAGAGGAAAAGGTCTCTACAATGAAGCAATTTCCAAGGGTCTCTATTCTACTATAGTCCTAAAGGCTAGGAGGTCATTTTTCAGTACCTAATCCTTTTTATTTTTGTGGAGTAAGTTGTATCATGACCACAAGGATTTCACTGCTCTTCAGCCTTCCAGTATGACTTCTGCATATTGTTAGTGGCAGATAAGAAGAGCAATTTTGATTTAATTTTATTTTTTCTCCTGAAGTCTGTCCGCTTAATCACAAAATATGGATTTAATAAAATGAATTAATTTAATATGAAAGATAACACATATTTGTATGCAATCTTGTCTGAAGCTAGAGCACTCATATCCTGGTTACAGGCAGGAGGCTGGTAATTTGAAGTCTTTCTGAAGAGGAAACCAGTAGATTAAAAGTACATCCTTGCTGCATGTACAGTACATAATACTGCACCTACACTGATTGATCACTGTGATCATAACCATGTTATAAAATCAGCTGAGGAATCTTGCAGATTGCCATCTCTTTGGCACTAAATGTTTTCATGTATCAACAGATGGGAATGGCAAAATTCATAAACAGGAGGCTGAGAGAGACTACAACGGTTTGTAAAAACAGTATGGTCTCTTTTCTCTCCCTCTTTCCCCCTTCTATCCCACCACGGGACTGATGTTAACATCTCAAGCAAGGGTAAGACTATGAGAACAGACCACAGACAAGCTGATCAACCTTAGGAAACTTTGCCACCACCAGCAGCTGTGAGTATCCATAATCCAAATTTGGCTGAACACTTCTGCAGCTGCCTGAGAATACAACAGCTTTTCTCTATGGCCATGTCGCAAAGAGTATGAATCATATCAATTTAATCTAATATACTTGATATTTTTTTCCTAAATAGAAGCCTATTTGTACGGAAATTTGGATTCCTGAGGTTTTTTCCTTTTAGTTTTCCCCTCACTTTGGAATCTACCCCAATCAGTGGGAAACAGCATGTCAAGACCGTAAAAGAACAAATGGTTTTGCCTCTACCCTTGTCTTCCCTTCACCCAGCAACTTCCAGAAGAATAACTGAATTGGCCACAGACCACGAATCTCTGGCAATTCTGCTGATGGCCATCACCATGCTGCAGAGCAGGCTGGCCGATCTCCAGTTATGCCTTTAAATAGAGACAAAATTTCAGGTTTGTGCTCCAAAATCATTTACTTTGACCATCCTCACTCCATGAGTTAGCAAAAAGCCAGGTAGAGTCTTCATTCTTCCCAGCAGGATACTGGATAGCCATCTATACCTAGGCAGAGCTGGGATTAAGTGGGTTGAAACAGTAACATATGCTGAATAGAAAACTAAGCCCAGGGTCAGACATGGAAGATAAATTTATATTTCATGATCAGAAAGATCATCAAGGAATTATATGGAAAAAGGCCAGAATAAGCAACACAAGTCACTTCTGGCATACTACTGGAAGACTAACCAGAATACAGTACCAGAAGCATATATTTTTATGATTTTCACAATGCATAAGTTATGGGTAGACATATATTCTATATAGAATCGTTCAACAAGATCCCTGGGAACAGGCAACTCTTCCTAAGTGTACACACGTACACAGCACACGCTGTCTGGGCAGCAGACATGCTATAATAGGTGTCAGACCCAGCCGACATCAGTTAAAGGTCAAGCACACTGCGCAACAAGGAGCCTTTGCCATGTTTATAAAAAGGGAGGTGGCCCCCTCCTTGTACAAATTATCCCAGTGATGTAAGACTCTACTCCATCTTGCTTATAATCAGTTCGACGTATGTTGACGGTTTCATAACTTTGTAATTGTGCCCTTTCCATCTTTTTCATCCACACTAACAGACATTCAGGATAACGTTATATTGAAATTGAATCCACTCTGGGACTTTAGCTCGCTGAGAAAAGAAAAACAGGATAACAGATGAAAATGTTTAAGTAGTCTTAGCTGTTCTTTTACTCCAATAGTGTCCTTCTCCTGTTGCCCAGCTTTGCTTCATTCCAAACCATATCTGTCCAAGTTAAATTCTTTTCCTAGATTATTTACTTTCAGTAGTGTGGGAAGGCACATTTTAATTAACTTCTGTTGAATTTCTCAGTGTGGGCTCTCATCTAATGTTTGTTGGTTAGCTAGTAGAGAAGGATTCAGCTCACGGATTAAGACTTAAGTTTAGGTGTCTGCTTAGAATTACAGAATCACTCAGCCGCTCAAGGCAGGGACAACACTGAATTCAGATCAGTTTACTCCGGGTTTGTGCAGTCAGGTCTTGAAAACCTCTAAAAGTTTAGACCCTCAAACCTCCCTGGGTAACTGGTAGCAAATGCTTAATTATTTTCATTGTGAAAAAGCTTTCCTTGTGTGCCACCAGACACCCTCCCCTGACCACTTTCTCTCATTCTTCTGCCATGATCTCAGTAAATGCCTGGCTTGGATCTCTTGCCAGCCTCCCCATAGGTACCGAGGGGCACTGTTAGGCCCCCTGAAGCTGTCTCTCCTCCAGGCTAAACAAGGTGCATTGGGAGCCTTGCTGAAAATGTTGTATTTGAGGAGTTAGTGGTCTTGAACAGGACACGTCTGCTCTGCTGAGCCTTGTACTTAAAGACTGTGCTGACGCTGGTGAATGTTATGACACAGATGACATCTCAGCCTGTTAGGAGAAGATATGTGATTGATCATTACACAAAATAAAAGGCTCCACAGCGTGAGAGGGAGAAGGAACCCCTCCGCAGATGGCATCTGTGCAGTGTGCTGGAGGAAGATCATCTGATGTCTGTCTGGTGCTGCAAAGAAGTGGGATTCTTGGTACTGGAAGGGACCTAAGATTTCCTCACCACCTATATTTCTGGTTTTACACTATCTCATGAAAACAGCTATTTTACCACAGCCTTTATTGTTGCACTTGGCTGGAGCAGAACACAAGCCCAGCGCACTCTGTCTCCTCCACCAGGTTACATGTTCCGGCCCTCTTACCATCTTCATGGCTCTATGCTGAGCTCGCTCAAGATCATCAACACATTTCCTGTGCAGGGGCTCCACAACCAGAGACAGTATTCCAGGCGTGAATGCTGAGTAGAAGGGAGTAACCACTTCCCTTGACCCATGGATAATGTGTGAGCTGTGCATGTCAACTCCCATCACACCCAAAGGGAATCAAGGCTTCAGTTCAGTGCCTAAACGTAGCTACAGAGTACTGTTTGAGTTGTCCTAGGGTATACTGAGGTGGCCCAAGACCCATTTAGCACAGATTTTACCCTATGGTTGTGTTAGGATTGTGGCACAATTTAACTTTCTAAAATCTTTCCATGTAGTTTCCTCAGTGTATTATTTTTTAAATATCATCTTGGAAGATGAGATACTGCCTAGTTTGTTGTTATTGTTGCAATTCACAAAATTCCAACATTATCCAAATAATAATTCCTTCATTCTTCTTCTGGCATTTGATAATTTAAATATGTGGTACTGTCAAGTAATCCATCTGAATTTACTGAGGCTATACAAGAGGCAAATGGGGTCAGCATTTTTTCTGTATCTGTAGATGGGTAAGCATTTCAAGTCACTTTGTTGTTCAAGGAGATATACTCAAAGCTAGGATTTAGGCAAATCTCAGCCACAATTTTTCCTGTGGCAACGATACTGACTATACTAACCTGATCTAGTTGGAGATATCCCTGTTCCTTGAAGGGGGGTTGGACTAGATGGCCTTTGAAGGTCCCTTCCAGCCCTAACGATTCTATGATTCTATGATTCTATGAATACCTTAATCATAGAATCACAGAATCGTAGAAATATTGATTGGAAGGGACATCTCGAGGACTTCCTCCAGACTGTAACTGCCTATTGAAGTGGGACTATCACCATCACTAGATCAGGTGAAACACAGATTTGTCCAGCTGGGTCTTAAAATCCTTCAAGTATGGAAATTCCACCTCTCTAAGCAGCCTGTTTCAGTGCTCTTGGTGAAGAATCACTACCTAATGCGCCTTCGGAATCTCCCACAGTGGCCATTGTCCCCTATTAGATCACCTGCCACCACTGAGAAGAATTTGGTTCCATCAACTCTGTAGCTGCTCTTGAAGTACTTACAGGCTGGGATTAGATTAATCCTTAACCAAATCTCTGCCAGGCTAAACAATCTTTATCTTCCAAAAGCTGCATGAATTGC